CCTCCTCCTCCTCCTCCTCCTACTCCACCACCTCCTCCCCTCCTCTCTTCCCGCTCTTCTTCCTCCTAGGTCCAACGCCTTTCTTCCCCTCCTCTTCTATTCCTACCCCTACTCCAAACCTACTTCCTCCTCCCTCCTGCTCGGGCTCCTACTCCTCTCCCATGGATACCTTTACCTTCTTCATTCGATCTCTATCCATCGATCTTCGCTCCCCCTTCCTCCTCCTCATCATCGTCCTCCTTCCTGCCTCTCCACCCCTTCTCCAACACCTTCTCCCCTCCTCCTGCTCCATACTCCTACCCCTCTTTTTTTCTTTCCTCTTCCCTACCCCACACGTCTCCCCTCTCCTGCTGTCCTTCTCCACCTACTCCAACACCTCTTCCCTCATCCCTCCTCTCCTCCTTCCTCTCCTCCTTCCTCCTCCTCGCTCCGTGTCTCCCCTGTCCTCCTCCTCTTTCCGCCTACATCCAAACCGTTCCTCTCATTCTCCTCGTCCTCCTCCTCCTCCTTCGCCTCTACCTACTCAACACCTTACTCCCTCCCCTCTCTTCGCTTCCTGCTCCCTACATCCTCCTCCCTTTCCTTGTCCTCCTGCTCCTCCTGCCTCTCTTCCCTCTTACCTCCTCCACTCCTAGCTCCAACACTTTCTCTCCCTCTCCTCCTGTCCTCCGTTCCTCCTTCTTCTGCCTCCTTCCTCCTCCTCCTCTACTCAAACACCGTCTTCCCTCCTCTCCTCTTTTCCTCCTGCCCCTCCTCCAGCTTACTTTCCAACACCTTCCCTTCTCCTCCTTCCTCTCCTACCTCCTTTCGCTGCCTCCGCTCCTCCCTCCTCCTCCTCCTCCTGTCCTCCGTCACCTTCTCCCCTCGCTCCTTCTTCTCCTCCTTCCGCCCCTACTGGTTAAAATTTGCTGTCTTGTACAACTATATCTGACCAAGGTAAGTTACCATTGAATCAATGCACTGCATTAGCTACAGTGCATACAGCAAGTTTCAGATAGTATGGCCATGTAATGGCCAAAGGCCCATGGCCCCTAGCCTATAGAATAAACAATGCACGTTGCAGTCAGTAGCGCTGCGAGGGTCTATATTATGTCTCCCTGGGTACTGCCGGAACGTACCCTGGGTACTGTCCGGTATACCGGAACGTACCCTGGTAACTATCTAATATGCCGAGTATAAGTATAGTATTATATCTAACGAGTCTAGGGAGTCGCCTACGCCTACTCCCTAACCCTATCAGATAGTTACCAGGGTACGTTCCGGCAGTACCCAGGGAGACATAGACCTTATCTGCGTCAGTAGCAGCTCGACAGTTTTAGCATTGTGCCAATGGCTAGAAATCGGTGGTTATTAGGTGGCAGTATATTTTTTAACCGTCCCGTTTCATTACACAACAGATCATTATAAAAACTATTGTAAGTTGTTGTCAATACCCTATTATATAAAAATGCTATATTTTCAACTAACCGTTTATCAAACGAAATTTGCCATTAAAGTATAAATAACACGGTAACTCCACGGGTATTAAATGACATAATTGTGTTCACTCGGCACTTTATTCTCCTATTTCTGGCCTGACACCGGCAAAGACTGAATGAATGAATGGTATGATCGAAAATATTAGATGAAAGATATGATCGAAAATGTTATTTCTACTCGGAGTACTAATGACATAATGTTACTACTCATCCTAATTTTATTATGTTACTTAGATAGCTCGGAATAACATTAAGCCTGAGTCCTGAAGCCGAGAAGATTAATTAATGACCATTGAATTATGATATTATTATATACATATTATATATAATGTATTTCTCTAAATGTCGCGTTTTTTTATAAAGCTTTACACTGCGTCTGCTCTCGCGAAAATATTACCTATTTATGCCCGCTAGCACGATTACTGCACGATAGACTACTTGTCAAATATTAATAATTACAAGCCCACAAGGAAAAGATTGATTATGCGGCGATTTACTATCACACGCCTGGTCCTATATACAGTTAATTGCCTGTATTCTGCTTCAATGCTGAGTTACGAACTATTTATCGGTGCCGCTGTCACGCGTATGACGTAAGTGTCCACGTGTGACGAGCTTAACGAGTGTCCTGCCTAATTGTATACGATTTGTGGCCCCGCTGTGTAGTAATTAAATAGCAAGACAACGCTGACGCCGACATAGCGATGTTATAAATAAATAATACAGATATTATACATGGACGCCTAATTAACCGAGCGCTTATTGCATTCATTGTACGCATTCAATGTTTCTGCTATTTTCTTCTTTTGTTCGTCATAATATTTTCAATATTCCACCTTATTCACGCAACATTCTCGTCGTACTATTAAAACATCTTCTCGGCATATGTATGCGCGAACGCATACACGAAGAAGAAAAGACACAATACGCGAGAATAAGTCGTAAGACGTAAGTCGCCGTGGCGAGACAGAATGAGACGACAGACAATAAAAATAAGGGCACGACGACTACAACTTGGGTCATAAAAAAGATGACGACAAAAAACAACAAAGGACAAAAAGATAGACGATGATGATAATAACAAGAGCCGCAGAGCGGCTGGGCTCATCTGAGGTCTGTTGCTACAGTTATAAACGTAACATTTAAGTCGTGCGTAGTGACACCTTTGTTAGGCGCAGATATGCAGATACGCAGTTGCGTATACATCATTTCAGCAACCTTCTGCATTCTGCATACCTCCCAAATCCCATTGGTTGATACAAATCGCGTGCATGAAACTCCTGTTCTTTGGTGAATTGTGAACCTAACCCTATCCCAAAAAAAATTTAATTGTTGTAAAAATTATTTGTTGTTATGAAATTGTAAATAAATCATGTAAATATTTGCCTTAATTGGAAAAAAATAGTTAAATGGATAAATATAGAAAAATACAAAAACAGGTAAATAAAAAATCTGATGGGATTCGATCCAAGAACCTTTGAGCCGTAATTCGTTGGGCAACGTGCTGTAGCCGTTGGGCTATCTATGCTTATTGGCTTTCCAGATTATGGATGTGCCATGAATATGAGAACACTGTGACATCATTGAGGCAGTTCAGGAATCCATGTTTAACCCTCCTCTTGAGGGTCAAAAGGTTATCAGACACTTACTCTTCGCACGTCAGCGGAAAGCACATTTCATGGTTCTTTCAATAAAGTGATAAAAATGGTAGGTCAGCGCTGAAACAAAAAAGTTTTTCACTCTGTCCGTTAGCCCATGTCCTCAGAAAATGTCTGATATCTGACCTTTCCCCCCACTGCCCTTTGACCTCCAATTTCGCACTGGTAATGGGTTTCCTGCCCATCACACTATACACCAAATATTAAGAGCATAGGTTGAGCCGTTAAGATTTGTGCCGCAATTCCGTATTTCCTCCTATACCTTAAGTTAAGGGGTAAATATTCCGCCTCCGTTTACACATCTTGACCTTTGACCCTTGCCCCCCAAATTTGTCATCCTGAATCCTTTTCACGACTGCCCCCCCCCCGACGTCCCTAATATCGTGACCGTACGTCGAGCGGTTAAGATTTGTGCCCAACTGTTGACGCACGGACGGACGGACGGCCGCACTAACGGACAATCATGGGATTCTACAAGCTGCATCTGACTACGTCAGATGAGCTAATGATGATAGCAATGTGGAGGGGGTGGGAAGAGGGGAGGAGGATATTAACAAGAGCATATAAAGAAGGCCTTCTTTATATGCTTTTGCTATTAAAGTAATGATGATGATGACGATGACAATGAGAATGGCGGAGAAAGACAAGGAAGAGGGAAATAAGAACGAGAATCACGGCGGAAAGAACTAGATGGGAAATGAGAATATATATATGCCTATATATATATATGTATACATATATAACTTGTTTTGTATATTAGCTATAGATTAGCGAACTTTAATTTTCGTGTTTGAATAACGGACGCCCGACAAAAAACCTAAAATTTACTCATAAACAATGATCACAATTATATACACATTTGCTATTCATCTGTTACAGAAGTGATAAGACAAGAATTATAACCATTTCACAATAGAAAGTAGTGTATCGTAAAATATTCACAATGTATGTACAAAATATAAAATCGTAGGTAAATAAATACATATAGACAATTCATCTGTATCAAGAAATCATCCTTATCTATGCCGAGGGAGTTCAATCGTGCTGCTATTTAGCATAGTAAAATAACATAGTAGTAGTATACACTGTACTATACAGCACTTCACCACCTCATTGTTCGCCAGAACTCGCTCACCTTAGTACACGTTCGGAATTTCAGGTCGCCTGACTTTAGGAAATCAATCATATTTTGGTAGATGTACATGCTTACCACTTGGAAATATTTCGGCGGCAAAGGTATGAAACGAAAAGCTAGCTGAAAAGCATATTGCCTATATAGATCAGCATGACGATTCACACTTCATAAGCGCGGTTTCAGGTTCACAACTTTTAGTTTATATGAACCTGGTTAACGGACGATCAATTAGCACTTTTTAAATTTCAATATATACAGATATTTGATGGAGACACGCTTATGCGCAAACTTTCATTAACAGAAACAACAAAAGATAAAAGTTAATATTTTCACTGTCATTCGATCTTATAAATATAGTTCACTAACTGAATTTGTGACATTTGCTGCAAATATATCCCGCTTAATTTCACGCTGTGAGATACTGTTTTAATAGACACACCCATACATATATATAAGTAATTCCAAGTTATTTTCGAGAGCACACATTGGCCGATTCCGTCCCTCGACATGACGTAATACAGGAGATAAGCTGATTCGAGCAGCCGACCGACGTTCCCCGATCCCTTGCTTCCTCTCCCCCTCCGCAGCGGAGACGAAATGTATATTTTCTTCCCACATCTTCCTTGCACCGCCCCCCCCCCCGGCATAAATAATAAGGGATTAATTCTCAGCATGGACACTACACAGATAAAACATACTCGTACCTCAACATCACACGACACAAGAGGTTATAAAGACGTCACAATACCACGTTAAAAATATACACGATGACGTACACGTGAATCGCTCCGGCGACAAGAAAACAGTGGTAGGTAGAAAAGCTGTTACGAAAAGTAGGCATTCTGGCTCACTTTAAAAAAACCATTCTGACACACGCCACACAATTACATAAAAATAGCCATGATAATAACTATAAACTTTCTATAAATTATATATCTATATATTACACCATATATTGAATCGGTCACCGTTTTGTGATAACTCGATTAGCTACGAAAAATACCATGAACATACCTATAGACTGTATATATCTGTATAGAAATCTTCATGGTGACACTAGAAAAAATTCAGTGATCGATTAACTGAATAGGTTGTGAGTACACATTTAATAAATTCATTTGTGACTATCTAGTTACGTCACTCTCACTCTTGAGCTTATAATTTTACAATAAGTATTAAAATCCAATTAGGATTTACAGACGGTTACACTTTTTCTCGACAAGCACGAGAATTAGAGAAATATTGTCTGAGAATTTAATGATTCGCAAAACAGTTAACGGCTTATGATAAAACTAATCCGTGCAAGTAATTCGATTGTTTAAGCCAAGCAGTTAGTATATATTTTCCACGTAGCTCATCTGTCTAATCCAGTGATTCTCAAACTACGAAAGTGCCAGCCCACCACCACCTGCAGAAGCATGCAGAAAGTTGAGAGGAAGCGTGCCTAGAGAAAGAGTTAACCAATATTTATTTACTCGTGACAAGAAGCTTGGAATGTCACGTTGCAAGTTGCCAATACGACTAAGATATACAGACCTACTACAATAGAGTTACTTTTGCTCGTTTGATAGTTATTAGTCGCATGAACTAATATGATTTTAAAAAAATTGTGAATTTTAACAGCGAATTAGATTTGTTTTTAATGAAAGATGTGGGTTTGATGAACACCAAAAGGGTGCATCAGGCCATCGTTTGAGAACCACGAGACTACGCAGTACATCACATCAAATTGACAATGATTACATGTATTATTATATACACACGTTTTGATTTTCTTCTAAACACAATATCAAGATTTGAAGGAATTTCAATCAGATCTATTCGTCCCAGAATAATCCGATTACAACCAACAATAGTAAAGCCATGTGTGTTTGCGTGTGCGTGTGTGTGTAATCTGTGTATGTGTATCGTGTGGGCGTGCGTGTGTGTGCATGTGTATCGTGTGGGCGTGCGCGTGGGTGTATGCGTGTGTTTGCGTGCCTGCCTGCGTAGCTGCGTGCGTGCGTGCGTGCGTAAATAAACATACAAGCTGCACCGTGACCTCTGTTACATGACGTCACGAATCATGTGTAATTTACAACAAGCATCGATATGTTACCACTGCTGCTAAATATATTCTTACTAAACAACGAATATCACGTAAGTTGGCAAATAATAGTTTTGCGAAAATACCATTTTAAAACATCAACAAAATCGACTCACTAAATGTGAATGAATCTAATAGTCAAAATTTAAAAAGTAAGGCTGAACAAAGGCAACAGTGTTGATCTCTCTTTCATAATACACCCCCAGCTATCTATCTACCTTCGTACAGCTTAAATAACAAGTGCATCTGTGTCAAAATGCAGGTCGTAGTGCAGCTTGCATATATCACATTGTTCAAAACCTTACCTATGAAACATTAACGTCTGTAGTACTTGACAATTTGGAGGGCTGACACCTATATTACTAGCACCTTCGCCAATCCTTACTATTACACGCAAATCTGCGTTTTACTACTTACCCGCAACTTGGTCTGAAAACCAATACCAGAATTAGCAGCCGAACAGCTGATTTCGACCTATCAACAATATACACATTTTTACAAAAACAGGAATCGTGGCTGCCAGCAACCCAAGTGTATGAATCAACGTGAGTCCAATATCTAGCAGAACAACAGTGCCGACAGTGCATCATATAATTGATTGGCCATGATCAGATAAAGCTCGGCAGTGGCACATACTGTAGGTGGGGCATCATTGCCTATAAACTAAACCCTGCACTGAGTATGTATCAGAATCACAAAGTAAACAACAATCACAAGTATGCGCCCGCTGGCAGCCAGTTTATAATATGCCAGCATCCACTTAAGGGAAGCTCGGTACCCACTTCATAAAATTCCTGTTTCACGACATCCTGGTGTCTGCTTCCCAACGTCCCAGTTTCATGACATTTCCGCTCCATGAATCCCAACTTAACATCAACCACAACCAGTTCCTGACACCCGCGCTTCTTTACATCCTAACATCTGTCTCATTACATCTCAGCTTCGGCTTCATGACATCCCTGTTTCAGGACATCCCGGATACATAAGTCCCGGCATACACTTCCTGACATCCCGGTATCCACTTCCCATCTCAGCATCCTCGTTACGACACCCTGGCTTCAGGACATCCCGGTGTCGCGACATTGCAGCATCCGCTTACAAACTCACGCTAACAGAAGGCATGTCGTCTCCGCGCGTCTCCCTGTCCCGCGCATCTCCATTGCAGTCTTGGGACAACTGCCTGTCTCTCGCCCCCGCTGCCGTCTTCGCCGCCGCCGCCGCCGCTTTCGCGCGCGTCATCGCTGCATGCCGCAAGTTGTGCGACGTCCACAGCGTCCTCACCAGCATGCTGGCGTCGTTCGTCGACGAGCGGGGCCGCGTGGCCGCCGCGTCCGCGTCCGTCGCCGCGCTCACGCGGCACAGGTCTGGTTCGGAGAGCGCGAGGCTCGTGTAAGATGGTGGGGGCGGCCGGTCGGCTGCGCGTATGCTCAGCTGCGACGCGCGAACGTACTCCTCGTACGTTGGCGGCAGCGGCTCTGCGTCGTCCGACGACGACGACGACGACGAGTAGTCGGCTGCTGTCCATGAGAGGGCGCCGCCCGTGAGAGCGAGGTTTGTCATCCACGAGGCGGCGGCGCCGCTCGCGGGTGCGGCGTTCGCCGACTGCGCCAACGCGGGTCCATCGATTGTGCTCAGCGGTGACACAACTGCGCTGCCATCCACATGTCTGTCAGGAGGTGGGACCGTGACACTGACAACAGGCGACGTGCGGGGAGGTTGCGCCATCACTGTCTCGTAGGATGGTGGCGGTTCTATCATCGCGGCGATGAGACTGCGGGGGGGAAAAGCTTTTCTTAAACAAGAGCCGCAGAGCGACTGGGCTCATCTGAGGTCTGTTGCTACGATTATAAACGTAACATTTCAGTCGTGCGTATAGTGACACCTTTGTTAGGTGCAGATATGCAGATACGCAGTTGCGTACACATGATTTCAGCAAACATTTTTTTTATTGCAGAGAGAGATAGCGAGAGAGAGGAAGAGAGAGAGGGGGGCGAGAGAGAGAAAGAGAGAGAGAGAGAGAGAGAGCGGGCGAGAGGAGAGAGAGGGAGAGAGTCAGTCAGACTAAATTGTTTATAGACAAATAACACCCACGCGGCGTGCTACTGTATCAGTTACGTCATCGATTGAAATGTACATTCCGATTTCGCCGCGCGGCGTCCAAACTTTCGACAAAGATGGCGGGCAGAGGTAAGGCAGACGCACGTATAACGTACAGATTTTTTCAATGTCGGGGAGGATCAACACATTTCGACTGACAGTCAACCATTGGGCTCTGCAGCGTCCACAAGCCAGCATGCACCACCATATCCCAACATTGCACACTACTGTAACGTCGACAGAAAGTGCCATGCTAAGGACAGTACAAAACTGGCAAATTTTCATTGGTAGGTTTGACGATTCATTTCTGCAATTACTTATCTCAAGATTGGTTAAACTGAAGTTAAGAAAGTAATTCTTTCTGCACTTTTGAGCGCAATATACATTTGACCTATCCTGCCATGACATTCTTCTCACTCTGTTCCGATAAATGGCGTGCATACTGACTAGGTGCAGGGAATAGATAATCCAAACTAGTTGCTACCTTCGTTTAGCCAATGCTGTGATACTAATTCATTGTTGGCCTTAATCAAAAACAGACGTTTGCGTAAGTGCTATTGACATTGTATTCCCAACGTACAGAATCTCATATAGAGAATGAAGTTCATATATGATTTAAGGCGTGTAAACGTTGTTCAAGTAAGTTTTGCATGCAGAATTTCACTGAGAAATTCAAGTCTTCCACGATCACACAAGTACTATCAAACACAGTTCAGTCCTTTGTTAACAGTCAACAAATCCATGTTTAACCCTCCTCTTGAGGGTCAAAAGGTTATGAGACACTTAATCTTCGCACGTCAGTGGAAAGCACATTTCATGGTCCTTTCAATAAAGTGATAAAAATGGTAGGTCAGCGCTGAAACAAAAAAGTTTTTCACTCTGTCCATCAAGCCATGTCCTCAGAAAATGTCTGATATCTGACCTTTCCCCCACTGCCCTTTGACCTGTGACCTCCAATTTCGCACTGGTGATGGGTTTCCTGCCCATCACACTATACACCGAATATTAAGAGCATAGGTCGAGCCGTTCAGATTTGTGCCGCAATTCTGTATTTCCTCCTATACCTTAAGTTAAGGGGGAAATATTCCCCCTCCGTTGACACATCTTGACCTTTGACCATTGACCCCCAAATTGGTCATCCCGAGTCCTTTTCACGACCCCCCCTCCAACGTCCCGAATATCGTGACCGTACGTCGAGCGGTTAAGATTTGTGCCCAACTGTTGAAGGACGGACGCACGGATGCACGGACACACGGACGCACGCTCATGCGATTCTACAAGCTGCATCTGACTTCGTCAGATGAGCTAAAAACACGTTGAAATGATCAACATTCGAATAAAGTTGTATTGGAACTCCACTGGACACAAATGTTTGATATAATCTGTGTCAGTTCTATCACAGATGTAAAGCTAATGCTTATCGTTATGATGTAAGTCATTGGAGTTACTTACTGTGCTGGTAATTCTTCTTCATTGTTGTTTGTGCCCGGCAATCTAGTTTGCTGTATAAACAAATATATACATGATAAAAATCCTAAATGTACACATCGATAATTCTGACCAAGCCTACTTTTTCCCAAACAACTCTGTTGACAACAACGTTTCTATTGAACACATAACCTCGAAATTAATATCCACCCAGTAAAAATTGAAACAAGAAGCTCGACATACAACAATATTACATGCACAGTCTAATAACTGTACTTTTTCCCTTCCGCCCTGCGGTTGCTCTCGCCACGTACCTCGGCTTGCTCTAAGAAGCGTTTCCTCAGCATGGATACCCGGCAGCAAAACACGGCACCTGCCAGTATCAGTATGGGCCCAATAAAGTATAGACTTCCCTCAGGCGACTCCACCGAAATCCGGCCGAGTACGGCGTAGACAAGGATGAAGAAGCCAACCACGATCAGCGGGATCGACACGGAAACGTGACAACAGATGGCGATGTTGTTGAAACGATTCTGAGCATTTTCGTCCTGCAGCGTCTGGGTCAGTGGTGGATGTGCCGACTCGGACATTGCGATTGATGCATACATTGGCTCCAACATGTACCCCTCACTGGTTATGACAGTCACTTGCGATGTAGGGCTAAGCAGTGCGGCAGCAGAATATTGACTACTGTCGCGCATAACTAAAGCAGCTAGGTTACATCGCTCCGCAGGCACAGGTCAGCTTATTTACATCTAAGCATTATTTGTGTACAGAACCAACCTGAAAGTAGATAAGCAACATGATTTTAAAATGTATCATAGAATCACGATATGGCAAAGATCAACGCAAAGCTCACATGTATGCGGTGCACGAAGAATAAGACATTTTGTAGCAGCTCTCTTGAAATTAGCAATGAACTTGCCCAACCAGGCTCTACAATTGTTACACGTCGTAGGAGTGTACACGTTCGTCACGTAGTGAGAAGTGAGAAGGTAACTAGTGGCTAGTACTAGTACTATTAATAGTAGTAGCTATGACCATGAACATGTTCAGCAGGGGTTCTGTTTATATACATTTACACGGTCCATGTATGGATGTCATGTCATGGATACGAAATTTCCAGAGATTGGCGTAATTACTGTATTATAATTTTTGTATATATACATGTACAACTAATAGTAATACGATAACATAGTCCTGATACAATAATATACTGATTTAGTGATACAGCCACCCAGTCATCAGGGTTCGAAATTAACGCTCGCACACTCGCAAAATGCGAGTGGATTTTCGAAATTGCGAGTAGAAAATATAAGCACTTGCATTTTATTGCGAGTGACATATAATCTGTTGTCATGGCTATCAAAATCCAACATCCCATATCCAGGCATTTTAAAAGTAACAAGTTGTCAACTAGTGATGTCACGATCATCGATTATACTCGATCATCGGTTGAACAGTGGCTTGAACCAAGCACTTGGTTATCAAAATCCATAATCGATTTCATCGAAGAAAAAAAATAAAAAATTGAAATAAATGTAAAATTTGAACAAGAAAACTTGGAAAACTGATGAGAATCAGAGATATCATCGCTATTTTAGTTCGGGAATCACCCGACATTCGCCGCAGTTACTTCCTATTGAGGGGCTAAAGCCTAGGACACACTAGGGATTTTATACGCTGGCTAAACACACGACGTTATGCACACGCAGGCATTCAACACCCCGAGTAACCGATTGTAACCGATCATCGGTTACTTGGGTCCAACCGATGATCGATTACGAAATTACAACCGATTGACAACACTATTCTCAACATAAGTCATAACGGAACTAGACCAACTAATTTCTGCAAAATTATAAACACGTACTGTCTACAAACTGAGTAAGGATTATAAACCTCGTGTGATCGGCCGCTACCGAGAGTATTCTATCTTCACGCTTTGCAGCCTGGTTTAATAAAGTCGTCTCAAAATTATATAACATTTATAAAGTAACTAAGAAGATAACATTTTTAATTAAAGTGTTAGCATATTATACACTACAAAAATAATTATATTAAAAATGCGAGTGTTTCGGATTTTGCGAGTTGAGATTTGACCCACTCGCAAAAAAATGCGAGTGGTTTCAAAAGTTAAATTCTACCCCTGTACAGTCTCTCAAACGTATTGAAGACAAATTCATTTTACCTTGTTTTTGTTGTTTTGCATAAGCAGTGATGTTAAATTATGTAATCTTTTATTTATTGTTAAT